CTGGGTCAATTTCGTCATCAATATCTTCCAAGTATGAATCACCAGTGCCTGATAAATCGGTACCATTTTCTCCATAATTGGGAAAAAAGTCTTCTCTTTCCAGTAACTCTTGATATTTATCTTGGTAATCTGGATGAGCTGCCGTGAAAGGAACACCGTCAGATGTTTAAAATGTTGGTTCATTCATGAAATAATTGGGATAATTTTCAGGTGTTTCCTCTCTGTATGTGGAAGTTACATAGACTTGAGCCCCAGTTGCTCGACCAGAGTTCTACCAGCTTCAAGAGCATTTATTTTCCATCTCTGCTGCAATATGCATCTAAAACGTTGTCAGTTTCTTCCATATAGTTCTTTCCTGTTTCCTTCCAGGCGTCTTCCAGAACTGACCCTGTCAATTCCAGTAATTTCACTGCACAGATCAAGCTGTCACGGGGCTGGAGAAGAGGGCATTCAGCAACTCCTGAAGACCAACCTGGAGGATATCCGCTCTCAAAACCTGCCCGTTTGTGCCCTTGTTCTCCATCCAGGTTAAGGTACAGCTCTCTCAGGAAGAGCACAAATGCATGAAATCGCTTGCACATTGCTTCATCCCCTTTGGCGGCTTCATGTTATCTTCATATTCAGTCCAACACCTCTGAAGCAGCAGCTGGCAGAAGTTGCCACACTGTGGCAAATTGTAAGATGATGGGACAAGTAGTTACACAGGCGATCCCCCATGGAAGAGAAATTGGGGATTGATGTGACCTGCTGATGAGTTCCACAAGGTCTTGCAGGGCTTCATCTCTGGTGACCCAGCCATTCAGGGTGTCTGAAAACAGCTCAGTCTCCCTCTCAAAGCTGCCGGGCTGCTCTGTGAAGTGAGTCAGAAAGTCCTGCACATACTCTGACAGTGTGGGGTATTCCTCACAGCCATCCTCATAGGATTCCGTGTAGCTGGAATAACCCAACGGGTAAAACCCGGGCGCACTGGGGAACAACTTGGACATGAGCACCGGAGCTACGGCCACGGGCACCTGGGGCTTGGGCCATCGTGGCCTCAGGGTGAGGCAGGGAGCTGTCCCAGGACCCGGGAGGGGTTCTCAGAGGAAAGGGCCAGCGCGCAGCTGCAAGAGGCCCAGGGGCTTTGGGCAGCTGCGGAAGGTGCAAGTGCTCGGGACACCGCCCTCGGGCCCACCGCCTCCCGGCCCCAGATCCAGGCGCGACCAGCACCTGGGGCCCGGTCGAAGCCGTTTGACATGCTCCTGCACCGCGGTCCTGGGCCGCAGCCTCGGCGGGGAAGCCTGGCCTCATGGAGGTGGGCGCGCCCGGCAGAGAGCGCCCATGCTTGGGGAGGACGCCAGCGCTCAGTCGGCATGGAGGCAGCGGCCAGGCTCACTGCTCGGAAGGACCCCAGTAGGAACATTTCTGTGAATCCAACCACAGGTTCTACTGGATGGTGGTGGTGCTTGCGGTGTAAAACAAGTACTACAGAACTTCACCAAAGCAGACATTCAGATGGCCAAAAAAACACATGAAGAAATGCTCAAATTCCTTAGCTCTAAGAGAGATGCAAATCAAAACAACTATGAGCTATCTCACCCCAGTCAGAATAGCAAAATTTAACAGAGAAGCAAACATCAAATGCTGGCAAGGTTGTGGAGAAACTGGAACTGTTGATGGGAGTGTAAAATGGTGCAATCACTGTGAAAGGCTGTATGGCACTTTCTCAAAAAGTTGCAAATTAGAAATACCATTTGAGGGGAGCTCTGGTGGCCTA